CCTGTTGTACTTGATGGGATGCTCTCCTATACTTAATTCTCCTCTTCTAAACACTTTCCTTATGATAGCTAGTTTTAAACTTTTAGGTTAAAACATTTAGAAAATAGTCATATAGTTGTCTCTAATGGTTGGTGATGTTTAGATAATAGTAGCTTAGCACTATATTGTGTAGGCACACATGTTCTGAGGAAGGCAGGCGTGACTTTTTATTGATTGCACCACATTAAATATATCACAAGCAGCAGAAGATCATAATAGGTTCTTTTACTAGGAAAGCTCAGCACAAGTATATGGAGGTGCTACCTAAGCATGAATCTCTTCAGATCAGATTTAAAAGAAGGAGCCTGAAAAGATGCACAAATGAGTCTCTGAAAATCTTCACTATTGGCAATAATGATGTGAAATATGTATTGAAAACTATGTGTGTATATTTGTGTACAGATTCTTATAACTTGTATGTTAAAGTGATGGTTCTTATTGCTGGTTGCTGATATTTGAAGTATTTGAAGTATTTTTTGCACTGCTCTTTTTAAAATAATGCTCAAGCTGTTTGCACATGAATTACTGATAAGGCCAAGGATTCTATTTTCACTGAAAAATGTAAAAAATGTGAATCTAACTACCAGGGCTACACACATTATCTGGTAAGAGATTAGTAAAAATCTTTTCCCATCTTTCCCCGTCACATATGAGAAAGAGACCAAGGATGCTGTGATACACGTTACCAGCCTGTGGACAGAGAATTGGAGAGGTGGATGCTGCATCTGTATTACATGTCCTAAACCCTGACTGCTAGCTGTGGCTTTAATCATTTTCATTTTACTATTCATAAAAAAAGTTAACACAATGAAACAATCTAAACATAGATTTACCTTTGATATTACTGAACTATGCAAAAAACTCCTGCGCAAGGAGATTAATTCTCCAAGTAGGATATAGTTAAAACAGAATGAATCGTGATAGCCTTGAAGAAGAATAGGGCAGGGGTATTTAAAAAGGACCTTCCCTTGAAGAGATGAGCACTGAGCAGCAGTAGGTGTCTGAAATGCTCAACCTGAATTGTTTTGCCCCTTTAAGAAGAAAATCTAGTTCAGAAGGAATCACAGCCTGGATGCGTACTAGAGAGGTTGGAAAAGCTTCGCTGTCGTCATTGTTGTTCTTATGGCCAAAGACTGTACCAAATAAATCAGAGATTTTTGTCTGTTGCACTCTTAGCTTTCTGGATGGAGTCTGTATTCACCTCAGGTTGCAGGCAGAAACGCTCATGATAAGGTTGCTAAGACTCAAGAGCATGACTTCTGTTTGGGATGGAATGATTTCAGCGTTAGCCCACTTGAACATAGCACATTTCTCACTAGCTGCTAATTACTGAAATCAGTGTTTAGAAATATTAGTTGCTTGATTTTTACATTTTGATTTCCTTATATCTTTGTGTGTACATGTATATATATCACTTTATGTATACTCCTTGAGCCATCTCAATATCTTCAGCAGGTTTAGTGAGGAGGAAAATGCTAGTATTTAAAAGTTTCATGGGCTGACCGACTTCTTGGTCAAGTAACTTGGGTTTTGTGACTCAAAACTGTCAGTTGTTTGATATTTATAGTGGCAGTTAACTGTGACAGTTAACACAGAAATAACTTCCTTCTCATCAGGATTCTGTCAGTGATAAATACAACATAAATTAGGAGCACAGCACCTCATGTTATGCTTTATTTTGTGAAATAGATATGGCGAGAGAGAAATTCGTTGGTGGAGTGGTGCCTTTTTGTGCTTCTCTAGTTTATCTGGTGCTAGTTGATTTTCCAAGTTGTATAAGAATAGCAGGACATGAAGGCTAATGTTGTCTAAGAGATACTTAACTCCTAATGTGCTGTTGTCCGTAGTGTTTTGCTACACACCCTTCTGTTGGTCAGACCAGCCACTGCCAGATATGGTTCAGTGCGAGGTGTCCCTGCCCATGGCAGGGGTTTGGAACTGGATGATCTTAAGGTCCTTTCCAACCCTAACTATTTTATGGTTCTATGATTTGTGGATTTGTAAATAATCCAGCAAGGAGCAAGGCTGTAGAGTCCCTCACACCTTATAAGGCTGGCACTGCAGCATCAGTATTAGTGCAGTGCCTTCCTGACAGATTGCTGCTTTGACGATGGTGAGAGGTCACATGTATTTCTACCACCTAATTTGCCCGATGAGAGACTATCGAGGTTGAAGAGAAGCGATTGCTCCACTCCTGCTTCCCTCAGATTGTTCTCTCTTTGAGGACAATTTCCTAAACAATCTTGCTGCTCTTAATGAGAAAAGCCCAAAGTGTTTATTGTAACCTGCTTTGAACTGTTAGCAGCTCCAGAGGAGGGAGGTCTTTGAACAGAGCCCGTCTTGTGCCAAAAAGAGAGCGCTCGGCGGAGCGGGGTTGAGGTACAGAAGCAGGGCAGTGAGGGAGCAGCGTTAATGAAAACACTGCAAATGAAACGTTAGCGCGGGGTGGTGAAAAAGCTCAATTTTATTTTGTTTTCACACATTAGGTTTTGCTTAAAGCAGACAAGTACCAGGGAGAGCATTCTGAAAAGAGGCTTTGTATAGGAGCTGGGGCTCTATCCATCAGATTTGTCATTTCAGGAATGCAGCCAGATGTATTGACTTACTAGCAATTGCATTGGTGCCATCTGGCCTGCTGGAGGCTGTATTAAAGATGGAAAAAACTGAACAGAAAGAAATGAAATTTGTTCATCATGCCATTACCCTAGCTGCTTATTTAAAGAGAGGAAAAAATGTAACTTCTTGGCAGGGGGTATGCTGTTTGAAAATAAGATATAAGGCTTTAAGGACCGCAAGTTTCAAAACCAAGCCCTGGTGTTTATACGTAGACCTGAAAGCTGGGCCTCACTGTTGTCATTTTGTGTATGTTTTTTTTTTAATGGAAAAATGCTTTCAAATCCTACTGTTCCGAGCTGTAGAGCAAAAAACACCCCCAGTCCCCTGCCTGGTCCACTGCAGCATTTATACTTACTCATTCTCAGTGGTGTTCAGTACTATTTTAGCTGTCTGAATTCTCTCCTTGTCTCAGGAACTGAAGTTTGTAGGTGTTGTACTTTCTACTGCTGACCTAGGAATGTCTTCCTAACTTTTGGATCATTACTTTTTTAACTTACTGGCATTGGTCTCTAAGCAGAGCTGCTATTCCCAGTCCAGTGGTAGCAATAATACAGCCCTTATTTTAATACTGCCGCACCTAAATGTGCTTATTTTAATTAATAAATACCAGGTCTAAAGTATTTCCATGCATTTAATAAGCAAGATGTTTTTCTTAATATTTGGAGGATCAGGGCTAGTGTTAATCTTTATTGACAGACTAAAAATGAAATCATTTTCAGTATAGAAATGCGCCGTGGCTACAGGGTAAGAAGTGTTCCCCAGCCTTATTGAGGTATTATTTGAACTATACATATATTCATCTTTAGTTCTACAAACAGCCTTGTGAATCAATAGCTGGAGGCTGCCATCTTTCCAGGAGGTGATTCCGTTTGTTTCACAGGATAAAACTGTGGGTCTGAATCAGCTCCCACTGGAGTTAATGAAAGTTGGACTGGCTCCTGTAAGAGGCTGTGAAGCAGTTGTTTGTTAGGCATTTTCAACCTTTGCTGAAGGTCAGAAGAAAGACTTGATTACTGGGAAGTAAAACAGTGTAGATGCTAAATTAGATTATGTTCTTCAGTACTCTCACAGACATACTGGTTAATTTACTGTCACAATAAAAGTTGTTTACAATTGCTGACAACACGATGAAACAAAGGACCAGAGTCCTTTCTAAAACATATATTTCAGTTCTGCTCTGTTCTTTTTACTTCTTTTGTTTTTGCCATTTAGGATAGAAAGCTCTTGAGGGCAGGGAAGTGGAACTTTGTAAAACGCTGAACTACTTGTGTGTGAAGTCAGTGTTTTAGCACTCCTGAACACACGTGTTAGAAGAATACACAATAATTTTAGGATTCCTGCAACCATGAAGCCTCCATTATAGCACTGCCAGGGTCTTCACTGTGGGTTTTTTTTTTTTCCAATAAGATGAGAAATCCTGGCACCAATACTGGAAAAGTCAACAGTGACTAAATACTCTTAAAAGAAGATGTAATGTTCTTACTCATAGCAAGCCATGGAGCAGTGTGAAAAAAAGGCCAAATTCAACCCTCATTAAATAACAGGATAAAGACTTCTGTCCACTCTGGAGAAAGCTGGTTTGTGCTTTCTAAGGAAACACTGAGCAGCATCACCTGGGCAGGACTGTCAGCTGGTGCAACATTACGCTACCATGTCCATAGCCATAGAGAGCACCAAGCTCTTGGTTTATATATACATATATTTATATTTATATATATAAAGTGCCTATCACCATATTGATAAACATTCTTTGGAACCACTCGGAGATGGGGGATTGTACTGTGTGAAATCTCCAATGTCTGAATCATTTCAGTAACATGCCTTCTCATTCTGCATTTGGGAGAGTGTCTCTCATATCTGTGCCACTCCATCTCCCTCCATCAGGATGGAGCAGCAGAACCTCAGCTGATAAGATGGACTTGGGGTTGCTCTGAGCAGCTGCTGCTTCTGAATGCCTGATATGTTTGCTGAAGAGCACTGTGGGGTTTTGTTGCCACTTGGTTTTTAATAATGTGATATGTTCTGGAAGTTAATTTAAATAAGGTCGTGTCCCATGTTTCCTCTCCCTACACTAAAAATTAGTATCTCTGGTAGCAATGTGTGGTGTGGATTATTCCTCCAATGGATTAATTAAAGGACTTAATCTCTGTGCCTTTTATTTTGTAAATTCAGACTGTTGACATTGTTATTGTTAACAATAGTCTTATGATTATAAGCAGGAAGACAGGAGGGCTCAAGTGTATGACACATAGGACAAAATGCTGTTCTGGCCAGGAACCGCACACTGAGCGGAACAGCAAGGGTACAAAATATTCTGGGAAAAGAGAAACGTTGCCATTTCTCTGCAGGGAGCTTCTGCCCATGCAGAAGTTACCACCAGATATTGGCAGCCCTGCCAGGAACAGAAACATTCCCAAAGCCCTGTGGGTGAGTTTTGAGGGAAAGACAGCAAATCATAGGTTTGAAAGTTTGAAGAGAATATGGAAGAGCGACAAGAGGAATCGAAGATTTACATTATGAAAGAGGTTGTGAAACTGATTTGGGAATAATAACTTTCCTCTCCATATTTCTCAATTTTCCCCAGGTGAACTAGAAAGTAGTCCAGCTTGCTTGAAATTGGAAAGATCTTCAGAAGTATGTTATGTTTTCATATTTAATCTATGAGAGTGCATAAATATAAAGTTCATGAGATGTGGGCATGCATAAATAGCATGTGTGTATGTATTATTAAGTGTGGGATTACAGGTATTGCAGTTTTAAAGCATGTTGAGTAACACCAGCAGCTCACTGGCTCTCTCAGTAATACTAATGTGAATAATAGAACCAGAGAAGTAAGAAGAATAAACAAATTAATAAACAGTACTAAATAAGAGCGGGTAATTAAGTATACTGTTAAGAATAACGTAAAGGAGTAAATCTTCCACCATTTTTCTTATTCATTTAACATATAGATATGTTATATAGCTGCACAAATGGAGCATATACCTTCTCTGTATTTTTTTTTAGCAATATAGCACCCATAAGATAAACTAAGGATGGTAAAGGGGTGTGGGGAAGACAGGAAATCTTATTCCTGTCTAGAGTGCTTTGTTGTCTAATTCCTTTTTTACTGCACTTCTAGAACCCTGTAACAGAGAAAGCTGCTAGTGCTCGGAAGGCATAGATACCATCTTACCTGGTGAGTTAGATGGGGTTTTTGTGTGGGTTTGGAAAAGTTCATGGTACACCAGAGAAGACCACGTGGGAAAATCCCTGTAAAAAGTTTGTAGAAACCCTGGAGCAGCACAGCATGTGCATATGTAAGTATTTAAACCAAACACAGAGTTGCAGTAGCCTTGAACAACTCTGAAACCAGTGGATGTTTTCTTCCTGAATATGAGAACAGTATTTTGTCAGTCTGTTTTTTATTAACACAAACAGGCTAGTGGTAGTGACATAGGTAGTGACATAAGGTGTATTTACGATAAATAATGGACTGCCAAAGGGGAGAACTGTGCAAGGGACAACTTTCATGTGTACTTTTTGATGATGCATGACCTACCCTTATTCCGCAGGCCTTTTATCATCTCTACACGAAAGAAACATGTTTTAGCCAAGTTCATGTGGACTTGATAGCTCTATCTTTGTAGCTTTTTCTACAGTACTCCCCAAAGGGCTGATACTAATATGTAGTCAACCACCTTTAGGCCATTGTTGGGTCAACTTGGACAAAAAATAGTAGTTTCCGAAACTTAAAACCCCTGTATCGGTGACAAGAGAAATAAAACCAAGTTCAAAGTCCAGGCAAAACAGCTGGAGATGGCTGGCAGTTTCGGTGGCAATGTGATGCAGATTGAATGCCTCGTTCAAATACGGTCTCCACAGAGACTTGTTGACAGCTTGCACTATTTTTGCTCTTGGTGTTGGTGTTCTGCACTTTCAGAGAGATCCGGCTGCCCATAAAGGTATGTCTAAGTCAGAAACTTTAAAACATTATACATAACACAAAACTCTTCTAGTTTAATTCTAAAACTCCCCTAGAAATGGATCTCATGGGGTCAGGGAAGGGAAGGTCCTGGTGCCACTGTACTCTGTGTGAAAATTACACTGTGAGCTCTGCACCAAGAGTTTGCCCCTTCTGCTTGGAAAAATGAAGCTGCAGTTCTTTAAGAATATGTTTTTTTTTTTCAACTCCAAATTTCCAATATGCAACATTAACTTGATGTATTAGGGTTAAAATTACAAATTCATCACCTAAAGAGAAATAGATCCCAAATCTATCACCTGAGCTACACTGCCAAAAGCAGATCCTGGTAACTGAATTGGCTGTAGTCATCTTTCTCCTTGCTGAAGTTCAAGCTTTTATGTTATTAAATGGTTTACTATGCTTAGGTGATGTGCTTAATTTAATTGTTTTAAGGGACTGCTTGCTCTGGTTTCTTTTTCAATTAAGTGACCACTCTAAGTGCATTTAACAGTCATTGACAATTGTACTTTGAATTACAGATCTAGTTATCCTTACACTGCTCTTTATCCCCACAGCAGCAATAGCTCCAGAATCCCATTATTAAGCACAAAGTCAGCTTTAATTTTGCAATTAAAAGGAAAGTAATTTGATGATGCACACACAGACCAAGGGGGCACGTGTGTGCATGTATAAACACTGGAGTATCGTATGGAAGCTCTTAATGAAACCCTTATGATATGAATAATACTCAAGTTACAAGTGCTACAGCTTATCTGTTATGTGTGGTAGGTGATAATAACTCTGCCATTCAGACAAGGCAGGAAAGCAATTTTAGTAAACATAATACCTGAAAGCAATTTTCAAATCATTCCCTGAGTTCTAATGTAATCTCCATAACAGTTAGGTTATTTTTCAAATCCTATTTCTTTCCTACCAACCGTGCTGCAGGTTTCCCCCCATTTGTGCTCCTACCTTTTCCAAAGGTTGAAATGTGCCCCTGCATCACTTTTCTTTGTCTCCTTTTGTACTATTTGCCTATGGACAGGGAAAAATTGTCCTTAATCTCTATGTATGGTGGGGAATGCTGCTTTCCCCCTTCTCTTTAAGTACCCACAGGGACAATCCAGTCTTTCACTATTGTAATTACTGCATCAGACAGTAACAGAACAGTATCAATATCATTCTAAAAGACATGGTTTTACTATCCTGACATAAAGGCCTTAGACTATCAAAATTCTTCTTTAACCATGCCAGGAATATAATTGAAAGCATATTTAGCTGTATGGATATAGAAACCTAGAGGAATTTTGTTGGTCTTGTGGTTAGCTAAGGAAAGATGTGGAGAGACGTTTAAACCAAGCGTTTCTAGAAGCCATACATACATGTTCCTGAAATTTGAGAGAATATATTTGACAGTAACACTCACTTTGAAAGCTGGGTATGAGGTTCTTTAGGATTGTTCTTGTGTGCCTTTGGCTGCCTTGGTAATACTTTTGGAGAGAGAGTTTTGGTCACTGTTCAGGATTTGCTAAGGGAAGACAACTTGGACCTTTTGGAAGTTGATGCACTTCTAGCTTGACTGCAACTAACTGCTCTTCAGGTGATATTTCAGCTTAGCTGAGATTTTTTTCCCAAGCAGAACCTCCCTCCAAAAGCTGCAGTCAATGCAAACTTTCCTTTCAGATCAAAGTGAATAGACTGGCTCTGTGTTATCACCTGACAACATTATCATTGGGAATATTAAGCTGTCAGCAGCAGATCTGAAGGAATCATTTTCCCAATCTGTAGTGAATTATAGGGGATGGGAGTCTATCACACATAAAAGTCTTTCCATTTTCTAAGTCTGCCTAGTTCTAATACTTTCAATCTGACCTCAGGCTGGATTTCCCTCTTGTTTTAAATCATGCTCAAGACACAAGACACCTTCTAATAGCTTAGTTACAAGATTTGTAACAATTGAACACGTTTGTGTATGTATTTATGGTATTTTTTACTTTAGATGTATTTAAATCTGTATATACCAAATATATGGAGCGAGCAGAGTCTTTTTGCTGAAATGCTCACTGCTGCCCTGTTATATACCTTTCCTTTTTTGTTGAATTCCTGATTAATATGTTGTTTGCTGCCTTAATGCTAACACACACATCATTTGGGACTGAGTGTGGGTCAGTGTCAAGTGGAACAGGATTAGGATGTGGGAGGTTGCTAGCATTAATGCTTAGCTACTAGGATTAGGATAAGGCTATAATTGAGCAGTTCAACTAACCTGGGATTCATCAAGAGATTTGCAAAAGTAAATTACAGTGGTCAATGAAAGGAACTTTTAAACTATCAAGGCAATGTGGTATTACAAAGCTCTAATTGCAAAGAGGGAGGGTTAAGCACTTACCACGTCTCACATGTACAAACGTAAGATTCTTTGCTGGTCTTGGCATTGCAGTGTGTGTTTCTGATTGTTTAGAGATAGAGGGACAATGAGATATGGAAAATGTGTTTTGTCTAAAAAAGTTCAAAAAATGGCAGAGACACAATAGTTTCTAATGGAATCCCATTGGAGACGCTATCTGATGGCATTTGGAGGGACTCAGAAGTGACAATAAAAAGTAAAATATCTCAAAGGACCTTTAAAAAGGTGTTTTAACTGAATTAATAACTGCAGCAATCCACTATTAGCCTAGACAGAATTTCACCAATTTCTCTAATCCTGCCAATGTGTAGGCTATGGAGGCAACACTGGCTAGAGCAGATACATCAAAATCTATAAATGGTGCATAGGCTTTGTGGTGGTCCTCTTGACAGGGATGATAAGTGATAACAAACCATAAAGGTGGTCTCCTTTGCATTCACAGGTCACCCCAAAGCTGAAATGGTCCACAATGGTGATAAATTCCTAAAACTGGCATCCTGTTTTCATCCAAATCTGCATTCCAGCCACAGTGTAGTTGGCATATATTAGTGCAGAGAGAGCAATTTCATTGTGCAATTTGTCTTGGCTGTGCTCATTTTTTTTGGGGGGGGGTTGGGGAATGGGAATGAAATAACAGCTTTTGATGACATCATATCTATGGCCAAGATTAAAACTGCTCCCCTGTGGGGTGTTGGTGGGATTTTTGCTCTATCAGCTTTGTGGACATGTATATTTGTGCTGTACTGGCAGCAGGCCCGTTTCTATGATTGTTTTATGGGGTGTCCAGTGTTATTAAGCCTCTCTGTGTTTTTTCCCCTTTCACTTTTTACTCCTGAGCTGCATTTCTGTAACCAATTTGCATTACTTTATGCTCAGTTTCACGTGCCATGTGTCAGCTGAATTGCACTTCACATCTAACGATTCAAAGCCCTTTGAATCCTTCTTGGTGGCTATACTGTATTTACTTCTCACTCGCTTGTGTGCGATTGAGGAGTTTAACAAGTTTTCAACTGTTTTCCAAGACTGAGGACATCTCTGCACAAGGTAGATTAAAAAAACCCAACCTGTAAAGAC